TATATGTGTATGTATATATGTGTATGTATATATGTGTATGTATATATGTATATGTATATGTATATGTATATGTATATGTATATTTATATATATTTATGTGTGTGTGTGTTTATTCGCTCCTACATCAACTCGGTAAAGTCTGTAATGTGTTCGGTGTTTTGGTTGTGTCCTTTGCAGGATAGGGAAGCAGTTTGAGCTCACCCTGCTGCTGCAGAGTGTGGTGATGATCCTCACCATGTTTGCCATGCTCCACCTCTGCTGTACGGTCCAAAACACAAACCGAGTGAGCACCAAGCAACACCGACTCTCAGGTAACCAGCGTTGCTCCGAAAACCATCTTGACCGACAACGAACGACATAATCCCCGTCATGTAACAGCAGTAGTTAGAAATCATTTCAGGGTAGCAAACGACATATCCAGCATGCTGCTTCACCCCGTCAGCACTTTAGGTGTCAAGTGCTTCAGCTCCTACTTCTTGCCAAAAGAGGGTGCCATTGGAATACCTTCACTGGCAAGGCTGCTGTTTTCACAGTGCCTCACCTGACTGCCACTTATTTACCAGTTATCTGATATCCACTTGCCATATTCTTGATTGAAAAGTTACGTAAAGGCTCCTTGTGTCCAGTCGTTAACCAGTGCGCAGAAGCATTTAGTTTATGTTAAAGCCTGAATGGTAATTAAACTGTGGAATAGATATTAGGATATGTAAGACAGTCCAAAGCATAAATGTCCTATGGATGTATTAGCTTCTGTAATGTCACACGAGAGATTAGTCTATTCTGGGCACGACTGTGTGTGTGTGTGTGTGTGTGTGTGTGTGTGTGTGTCTATGTCTGTGAGTGCAGAGGGAGGAAGCACATCCGAGATTATTTTCAGGGTCACTCTTTATAGGGTGCTGTCTTTTATGGGTAATTGTATTTTTATTCGCAATCAACTCGCTCGAGTTGATTGCTTTTGCAAATGGGCAGACAGAAACTCAATCTAAGTGCAATTTTTTCTAAGATAACAGCCTACGGAGGGAAACTGAACGATGGGATCTTGTAGTACTCTGATCATGCAGAGCAGAGCGCGTTATTGAAGACATCAATTATGATCAGTGTTTGATTTTATGTCCATTGGTTTGCAAGGAGGGGAATGTTTCTTTATAAAGCGAAACAGAACGCGGGCCCGCTGTCGGCGGCAATTGATCCTCAAAGTGGGACGAGAGATTGCGTGTGTTTGGGCGTAAGAGTAAGGATCATCTTCAGCTTTGGCATCTGTGCTTCCCTTGTCTCGGCAAAGAGCTGGTGTATTACTCACCGCGAGCCCACGCTTTAACTTTTTACATGGTGAATAGAATCATTTATGACGACTAGTGGTGGATCGGCTGCGGGTGGTTTCCATAGGCTTTGTGTCTATCTGTGCCCAGTATTTGTACACATGTTGCAAACACACTGGACAATAAGTCTGCCTGTGAGCCATGTGTGTCCTCTATGTTCAACAGGCTCATACAGAGATAGACGATTAAGAGTAATGCAGCTCAAATGTTCACATGTGAGTTTGGCCGTTATGACCCCCCCAGCTACTAAAACACAGCATGACCACCCTCTCACATTAAGAGCCCCCCCCCTTCTCTTTCCGAAGGACGGGCCTGAGGTCCGGTTTCACAGAGCTCGGGTACGACTGGCGATGGTGGGGTCAGGACAAGAATAGATCAGTCTTTCGTCCCAACTGTGCGCTCCCTCCCTCCCTCCAACGCTAAGTCTTTCCAACAGATCAGGGTCATCATCTCTATGTAAAGTAGTTTCCTTCCCCCCAAGGTGCATGTTGGCGTGATTTCAAAGTATTTTTGAAGATCTTTCACGCTGAGCTCTCTCTCCGCTCATTTCTCCACTACCCACCCAGCACCCTTCTCTCTCTGCCCTTTATCTTCATCTTCTCCCGCCTCCCTTCTTTGTTTTCCCCCACCTTCCTCCACGGCCCTTCTTCTCTTATCTCTCTTCTTTCTGTCCTTCTGTTGCTGTTTCGTCTCCCACCTCTTCTCCTCCACTTCCTGCCCCTCACTCGACATCTGAGACTGACGTGTGCCATGCCAGGGTCCTCTCTGATCCGGTGGCCTGCCTGCCAACACCTGTTCCCTACTTACTGACCTCATTTTCCACTTCCTAAAGACACAGACACACGCATAAGAAAAACACAAACTCGATGAGCAAGTGAAATTAAGAATTACTCGTCACTTATCTGTGCAACTCATGGATACGCTGTTGATTCCTTTACTTGGAACCTTGTGTTGTTGCCGATTGTGCTGATTTCCTCAGCCTCCACCTGCTCTGGTTCCTTTTTCCATTCTCCCCATGTGTGTATTGCGGAATGTGCTGCCATCTACATCTGGCATAGTGCCTTTATTCATGTCGGGTTCAACCAAGCTTTTTTTTTACTGGATCCCTTTCTGACGGGTGCAGGGTGTGGTCCACAAGGAAGCAAACGTTGGGGTTGTAATGTTATATCACACATGTGTCAGCGAGGTATTTTATCTTCACTGTTTTCTTGTTAGCAATGCAAGAACACCAGCAATGATGTTATCACGACGTGAACACACATCTTCTTGTATCGCATTCTGACTCGCACAGTCTGATTGGAAGCGATCACACGCCGGCTTTTCAGGTTAGACAACACTGCCTTGTGTGAAGTCCCCTAACACACACACACTGTACATTTATACACACATAGTTGAGGCAACACATAGCTGGGTTTAACATTGTAAATGATGCACACTGATTGGTTTTTATTTTCAAGTGTTTTATTGAAGTGACAACTGAGAGAGAATCAACACGATGAGACCGGAATTTAATTCTCCCGCGAGGTCACCTTCATTATCATTATTGAGTGTGAGGAGATATGGACTGGGTGAATTGAATGTTTTTTATTTGTGTGTGTGTGTGTGTGTGTGTGTGTGTGTGTGTGTGTGTGTGTGT